ATGTGGGCGTGCAGAGGGTAGAACCTGAGGAGGGACCTTGTGCTCAAACTCTGAGGTGAAGCTGTGATCTATGAAGGGAAGGTGCGCAGAAACGTGCGTACGCACTGTTTTATAAATCTGAATTTTTTTTTTGGCGTACGCCATTTCCGCCTTTTGGCCGTACGTTCACTTTTAGTATGGTTTCCACGCARTCCTTATAAATGAGACCCCTGGTACCTGTGGTATCAATATTTCAGTATCGTTCTGACATTAATCACTAATGTTTGTCTTATCAAATGGAGCCTCTCTGGATGGAGGACATTTACTTCCTAGTCCTTTTTTAACTACCTTTAAAGAAGCTGGTGGCTCATCCCAGGTTACATTATATCAGCTAAAGAGAAGCGTGTTGTGTCGTATTGAGAGAAGCAAGGAAACAAATGACAACATACTGCATGCTTTCCTAATTCAGTGCAGCCCAGCTCTAAATGCAAATCGTTACTGTATTTCTGCTCAGGTGATGGCATGAAGTGGTTAAATGAGAAACCTCTCATGTTCACTAACTGGGAGAGCGGTGACCCGTCGGACCTCATGCCCACAGAAACATGTGTGGCTCTGCACAGTGACACAGGAAAGTGGGAAAATGTGAGCTGCACAGACGACGTGGAGAACGGTGTAGTCTGTGAAACACTTCAGGGTGAGGAGTCCTTATTTTGTAAATGAAACATTGTTTATTATTATTCTGGATTTGTTTTAGGTATATTTAAAGATGTCCTGATTGCTTTCTCACAATGCATTCTGTGATTTTTTTTTTTTTTTTTTGCAGAAACAAAACAAGCCAAACAGAGTAAGTCAACCCTTTGAGCTCTTTGTTGTTGTTTCTTTGAGCGTTCCCTCCTGTGTCTTTTGTGGAACTAGTCAGGACCCTCCTTGCATTGTGTCTGGTTCTCCACAGAGCCCAGCATGCTGATCTCTGCCCTGGTCATCCTCAGCGTGGTGGCTATCGTAGGAGTCTCTGCCGTCATTTGGTTTTTGCACCAGAAGCACAATTTTGGCTCCACCATCTTCACAGCATTCGAGTACCACCCTCCGTTCCGAGTCCTGGAAACAGACCAGTCCTGCCTGGTGGAGGCTGAGGACACAGACAACGTGCCATAGGAGAACTTTCTCTTTCTTTTTGCTCGATGGGGACACGCCAGACCATGCTCTCTGGCTGGGTGGTTTATGCAAAGACAAGTCGACTCGTGATAATATACATAACAATAATATAATAATAATAATAATATAGTCTGATTGGGAGAAAATGATACCAAACCTACTGACACTAACACAGCTCATTACTGCTTTTTAAATAATGTGTTAATGAAACTCTTTCAGATTAGTGCTTTTTCATCATTGAGCACTAAGTATATTTTTTCCATTTTGCAAAGGGTTAGACATTTTACAGAAGAACTATGCGTTTGTGWTTGAGCCAGTAAAACATGTTACAGGACTTAAACTAATTTAGCACTGAATTCCCATAAAATTCAAGAACTAAACAAAATGAGAGAGGAGCAGAAATCAAAATGGCTTGATTTCTTTCTTTTTTGTTGCRTTTTTAAATAGTGTTTAGCTTAAAGTTAAAATTCCACAATCTGCACTTGGCTACAGCATGAATGAAGCAACTAAGTTTAATGCATGTAAATGATGTGAAGCTGCATTACGGATTAAAGCCATTTTCCAGGTGAAACATATTTGKAATGAAAACGTTCAAATCAAAATGGAAGAGATGTCTTGACCTGTTCCTTCCAGGGTCACACAGGGGTTTCTACTAAACATTTCTCAGTTTGAACATAGACTTTAAGGASGGGGTTCTCAGAGCAGACTGGACTTTTAGGTATTTCTTGATCAATAGGAAATCTTTAAAAATGCTAACAGTGCTATATTTCCAAGGCGTTGGAGTAGTTTGTGCTGAATGCTCTTTATCATCTGAACATGCAGCCTTTTTTCTGTGTGACCATAAAGCTTATGTTATAGGAAGTCAGTGTTCACCGTTTGACATTTTAGGTCAACTTGTTCTGTTTTAAAATGTAATTTGTGTTTTTGCTGCTTTATTCAACACTTAATGTAACATTTCAGGAAACTTTTCTAATTTTTAAATTCTAAAATCAGCATTTTGTTGTTGTTAATATCTTGTTTGCATGATTGGATTTTCCACACTAATTTTTAAAGGTAAGAAAGTAAATGATGAGTAAAGTTACATTATTTCAGCACAAATTTGACACAATTTGCTGTTGTATGAATTCAAATAAAATGTTTCTTTTATTCCAATGTTTGGAATATTGACTATCTTTTGAAATTTGCAAATAAGACGTAAGCTGTGCGTGCCAGCACATAAATATGGCATAAAAAGTCTGGAAGGAAACTAATTGGATGTGAAAACATCACGAGGCTGAAGAGTTACTCTCTTCAGAAGGCCTGTGGCTCTGTTGACGTCTCTGTGGGAGCCCAGATGAAACAAGTCAGCAGGATATATTTTTTAATGCTTTCAAGCACATCTAATTTTAGACTYCCAAGATGTCATCTGAAAAATTATTTTCAAATCTAGGCTGCAGATGCTTCTTTATGTATATTTGATGATTTTAACATTCTTTGTGGCTTAAAAGTAAGCATGGCCTGACGTTTAATTATTGCATTATTGTAGAGCTCAATCGTCTATTTTAATTATTTTTTGTACCATGTCTATTACAGTTCAGTGTAATGTCCTTTTCTCTGAAAACATGCAAGGTAATTTCAAAGTTTGTCCACTAGATGGGACACTTAAACACTGTTCATCCTTTTTAATGGGGGAGAAGGATTATTTAAACTTTTTTATATTTGCGTGTTTTACTTATTTTTCCTGCTCCAACACACCTGATTGAATAATTTGATTACTTCAAGTGGGTTAATCATTCATTCATTCATTCAAATCAGGTGTGTTGGAGCAGAGAAACCTCTAAAGCAGGGATAATGGTCCTGGAGGAATTAGACTTCATGTAACCACTTCCAGTAGGGGAAAAGATGTATTCAGTTCACTTTTTACATTGAAACATTTTTTTTCCTGTCACATTTTTTGTCATCTTGTATAAGTAATAAATTTATTGTCACAGAGGAATGGTTTGTCTCCTCATGTAAACCACAATGGTATATTTTAACTCAAATAGCAGCAAATACATTTATTCAAACATCTGCCACACCACTGCTTGGAACAGGAGGACATTGACACAAACTCAGGAGTCATTAAAATGACTGAAATATAAAAATGTATATAGAGGATGAAAAATGGTCTTTTGTTGGTTTATCAGGTGAGAGTCAAATGAATTTAACCCAAGGTTTGAGTCACTTGTGAGGAAACTCTGCTGCCCCAAAGTCTGTCTGATATCAAAACCAAACTTAATTCTCTCATTTTAGCAGTTTGGCTTTGATTTGGAGGTAACTGTGTTATTTTAAACAAATGTGCTTTTTTGATTCAAGTTATGTAGTTTTTCTTTACTCTTAAAATGCCTGATTTCCTTACACATTGGTTTTTTTTTTCAGTTTAAATTGTACATTTTAAAGTAAATGCACATGTAACTGACATGTCATGAAACATGCTAATTAAATAATGTCGCCTTCAGCATAAAACTGGCAAACAGGCTCAGAAAACAGAAAATTACCAAGTTACTAGACAGTAAAATCCAATTATCTCAATGTAGATGTATAGGAAAAAAAATAAAATGAACTTTTACTTTCATGACAAATCTTTTAAGCATTTTGCCAGAACTCATTTGTGGTTTTTTTGTGTACAAATAAATATAGAAGACATGTTTCTCATAGGCATGTCCCAGAAATCTAAATTTCCCCCTATTTGCTTATTCCAAAACACACGCCAATTAACCAAGAAAAACAAGTGTGACTGACTGCTCTCTGACCAGTTATTTTACAAACTGTGCATATCTTGACATCTGCACAACCAGGTTAACCTAATTTTAAAGTTTGCATGTCTAAAATTAATGAGCAGAACTCATTTGTGTTTCCAAACTGAATGTACTGCTTTTATGTATTTTTTTGTGTGGCTTGATGTACACTAATTCTACCTGAGTACAGGAGTAYATGGATTTAGAACAGTTAGTTTAGGTCTGTTACACTCAGGATTAAATGTTACAAATAACACAAGTGTGTGTTGCATACTGTGGCTACAAATGAAGAGATGACGCCATGTCATTTTCTAAATCAATGGCATCATCAGGCTTGGTGTTGAAAGGATCAGAGCAGTGTGTGTGTGTGCTAAAGGCCAAAACACAAAGAGCATTGTGGGTCCATCTCCTGGGCCTTTAGGGGAATCCTTCACAAATATGCACACATCCTAATTTATTTTTCAAGTGTTTCTATAGTGACGATCTTTGCTGTGTCTCCGGCCTCATTATACTTTCTAATCATGATGCTTTGAGAGAGAAAAAAAAACCTTTTTAAAGGGGACAGACCRTTTGCTGTTCCCCCAACATCTTCCTCACACTGTGGCAACAAATAACCCAGGAAGGCTGGCGTTTTGATGTGACCTGCTCTGATCTGTGCATCTTTTTTTTTCTTGACAAATAAAAAACCCAGGCCATCTCACAGCCTGAAAGAGACAAATTCATCAAACTATTGCTGTCTCCCTCACAAATTGCTCATCCAGCCATGCACACGTTAAACTCGGCGGATCCTGACTGTGACAGGAGATAAATCGATGAGTGTAAGGGACAGAAAATAAACATGTTGAGAAATAAATCAATATCATTCAACTGTTTGATTGGCATTTATTGTAAAACAGCTTAAAACAAAACATCACTTCTAAAGGAATATGCTACAAAGTTACTTTGTGTTTGTTATCATTTAAGGTACTTTTCAGAAAAGCCTTTTCATGACGATGATGAAAGGCTTTTCTTGTTTCTCATGCCTGCCTGAGTTATACAGCTCTCATTTAACACTTCCTTTTATCAACAAAAAGTGTCATTTTGTGATATGTTTCCTGTTTTGTGAATTGATGATTGCATTCTGCTTCGTGCAGTCATATTTGTTACAGTTTCTTCTGATTTCTGATCTTTTATTTTCCTTGTTGTTGATGTTTTATGGTGTAAAGCTGATCTGACGTCCCTGCCTCATCGAATCCTCCAACCCCTGCACCTGCACGGCTTTTGTGTTTGGATTCAACTCTGCCTGTAAATAAAATGGGCATGTATGTGCATTTAATTGAATTACTTCTGTTTTTTTTAAATAAAATAACTAATCCTTTCAACAACAGGTTACTGGTGATGTTTACATAAAAGCTTTGACAGCTTCTGCAAATAAAAAATATT